ACAGGCATGAGGGTGAGTCACGGCCAACGGGAGGGCAAAAATCTGTCGGTTCCAAAACTGCCGGTTTCTCCCATCTCGGCAAAGTCAGATCCTCCCGTCACCCACCTGGGTCCCATGCTAGTAACACATGTAATCTTGTAGACTGGTCTCACCTTTCAGCCTTTTATGATACATCTCAGTGCACACGGAGCAGGCAGAAAGTTAGTCCTAGCTCAGCCTTGGCCTTTTTATATTCCACAGTATTCTGGAAGTTTTCCCCTTATTCGCCTAAATTTCTCTTTCTCTCTCTCTCTCTCTTTTTTTTTTTTTTTTTTTAATAATAAAAACATAGCTGTTACATTTTTCTCCTCCTGGATTTTTTGTTGTTGTTGTTGGAAAAGTAAATACAGCTCTAACTCCTTACTTAGTAAAAATCATCGATCAAAAAGCAAAGAAGACAGCATGCCTCTTAGATGCCTTGAAAGTTGATATTACACACTGGCTCCTCTATGAAATAGGCATTACTTTACTATTCAAAAAAAAAAAAAAAAAAAAAAAAAAAAAAAAAAAAAACCGCTATAAGAGGGTTCTTAGATTATCTATATATTTAGGCTGGGATTTGAATCACACTTGAGGTTTAAGACTATTGCCTTCCTTCTAGCTTCTGTGTGTAGAAAAGGCAGTTATTTGCCATCTTCCCTATAAAAGCTTCTTAAATAATAGAACAGGGACCTGACTTYTCCTTCACTCTGCTCCCGTTTTCTTCTTTTTAGAAAACTTGATGAAATAAGTTTTTTCTTGATGAAATAAAAGATTTTCTTTAACGACTTCCCTTATATTGATATTTTCTAGGCCTTTTCTCATTTTTTTTTGCTGGCTTTTAGACTTGCTTCGAGCTTGCTCGCAGCTTTCTGAAATTACTGCTCCCAAATGGAATCTCACTAGTGGTGAATGGAGCAGGACTTCAGATGCTCACAATAATGTTCCCAACTGTGCATATTAGCCATGTGTATAACCATGCATTTAAATTTTCCATAACTGTGCATATAACCGTGCATATATATATATATTTTTTTTTAACAGCATTACTGTTACTGCTTTTTCAGTTTGGTCCACCGAAACCCACAGATCTATTCCTGCAATATTGTTGTAGCATTATCCCATCTGTGCTTCTACATCTTGTCCATCTTCCAAGGTCCACTTGGTCCTTGCTGATTTTGGACAATTTCTGTCTTGGAGCAGGAATTCGGAGCCATCTGCTAAAGGGTGGGTTGTTTAAAACCCTTTTCATTGCATGCTTCTATAAAGTTTCAGATCACTTCAGGGCTTAGTTATTTTTGCAGTGAAGATGTTTTCATGATTGTTGTCTTTGTAAAAATATTTTAATAGGACTGAACCTTGCACAGACCTGTGTATGAAGACAAATGAAGCATTCTGCACCAACAATGAACATTTGATAAATGAATTTGAATACAGGCTTTAATTTATTCTCAGTCACCCACACGGATTTGCTTTTCCTTCATACCAGAGTTCCTCAGTTCCTTAGAGTAAACAGAAAATAGGGTAACAGACACAATCTTTGTACAGCTCTTACTTAACTGTTTCTTTTTTTCTTTTATTATGCCAAGGACAACGAGGAGCAGGGCTGTTCCGCCTGACAGTTGAGCCAGGACCAGAGGGTGACGGCAAAGCAGGGACATGTCCAGCAAGGACACAGCCACAAGAGGGGACAAGAAGAGGGCAAGGGGGCACAAGAAGAGCGGGGCATATCCAAAAGCAAGCCAAAAAGTCAGATCAGTCAAGCCAGGTAATGCCTAGGAGACCCACGGCGTCGCTCAGGTAAGACCTGGGCCTAAGCTTAGCTGTGATTTCCGAGTGATTAGTTTGCGGTGACGTGTGCTTAGCAAATCCACGCTCCATTTCGGCGGGCTGGTTTTCCGGGGTTTCTTTTGAGACCTTATTATCCTCCAGGGGCTTGATGATTCACTATGTAATCATTTATCCTGGTGTTTTTCTGCATATTGAATTGAGGCTGCCTGCTCTGCAATATCCCAAAGTTTCTTGAAGATTTATTCGCTGTGGTGAGCAGCTTCTGCAGCTCTCTTATGTAGATTTGATCAGACTCTGTGGGTTTTAACACAGTTTGCTCACATAGACATTCATTAATCTGTTCCTCTTCTTTTCTATCCTGAAATGCATATCACGATCTTTTATTCTTTAAAATGGAAACCAAGGCATTGCAGCATATTAAGTATTTTAATCATATTTCTGTCATCTATGTATTTACTTTCCTACTTAGTATTGTACTTCCAATAGAATCTCTACAATAATTCAATCTTTTTTCCTGTTCTTCACGATTTCTTTTCGATGCCACTAAAAAGCTTTTGACACATCTCCTTCCACAACCAGTGTTGGTTTCATATTATTCTTTGTTCTACTGAAAGTTTTGTTTTGAACTGCTAATATTGTCTCTTCCAGGAATTACCAACTCCTCTACACTTCTTTATTCTAGATTTTTCCCGAGACAGCTTCATCCAATTCCCTGTGTGTGTTAAACCCTTTTTGATTCTCATACTCTGATACAATACAAATACTTTTCCATGAAAGAGTTCGTGCCACAGGAGGTTATCAGCAGCTTATCATTCAACCTAAGTGGATCTCTTCAACAGAGGGGGTAAATGGATAAAAACTTAAATTACATTGCTGTTTGGAAGCTGTACAGCAGCACCAGATTTGGTGAAATGTCCAGTACAGGTGGTTTAGTCTGTCATATTACACCAATGGGTGGCATACAAATGTCAAGTGAAACACATGCACAAAAATAAGTAGTAAAAACATACCAAAACAACACAGTCCATTAGCATTCAAAGCCTTTTTTAAAATGCAACCAGACTCAACTTTTAATTAAGGAATACACTTGCTGATTTCAGGAAACATGAGGCTCTGGAAACATCGTATCTTACTTGTAACAAATGTGGTTTTGACTCTAGCTCAGTTTCAAAGTGGGAGACATAGATGTATTACTTGGTTTCAATTGATAATTAACTGGATATTTTGTTCTCCAAGTTCTGTGCTCCTTTGACCTAAAGGTTATCTACGAAGGCTGATGAGGAGCAAGTGATGGCAAGTTTCCTGTAAAGATCCTGGGATTAAAAAAAAAGATAAATTAACTCACACGAAGTTCCAGCTACTCTTGCTTTTGAGTTAGCGCTTTGTGCTGTTGATAAAGACATTGACGTGCGGCTTAAAAAGCCGATTTGTGACACTTCTGAGTGTGAAGGGTAGAAACCTGGGCTTACTTCTGCTTTTATTGAAGTAAATCAGTTATTCAAGAACATTTTGATTAACAGATGTGAAACAGATGCTCAGAGAGGGCTAAGGCCAGTCAAATTTTAGAACAATCCTGAAATGTTCCTACTGGGAGATGCTCTGTGCTCACACAGTGAGGGGAAATCGAGATATGTCTTGAAAACAGCCGGAACTGATAAAGCTTCGATTCTTATGATGAAACTGCCTGCCCAATATTCGGGGAAGTTTCAGTGAGTGGTTGGTGGTGAATCATAGAACCAAACCGACCACCTTTTCATTACTGCTGCTTTCACTGCAATTTAAAGAAAAGCACACAAAATAATTAATTGTGCGAGATGTTGTCAGGAATCCAGAGGACAAGAGATGTTTAATGAATTTAGATTAGTGATGTACCTTTTAAGTATAGCAAGTGGGAAAAAGTTGATAGCTGTATATTTGATTAGGAAATGCATTCCTTGCAACCTTAAATGCTCTCCCGGTTTAGAAATTTCTTTTCTTTTTCTTTGCATTGCTCAAATCATCCCTCTCCCAAAGCCTAATTACTCCATCCGACAGCGTATCTGGGATAAAATCCTGCTTTAAGTGCTTTCTTTCATCTTTTTAATGCTCTTTGGTATACATAGTTACAAGGCAGTGCTGGGGGTTGCATCTGGAGCTTGCATTGTGAAAGCTTTTTGAAATTAAATTTCAGCAAAGCAAACATTTTGATTTTGTAATTGTCCTTAAAGAGTAATTTCCACATGTAACACAGGTCTGTCTCCAGCAAAGGCAAACAACTTAATGGCTTCTACTTCAGAATCCTTGTCCCAGAGGGAAATGCTAACGTCATCTCCAGGAATACCAGCCTGAGCTGGACAGGCACTTAGGGGAATTTTTAAGTGGGATTGACATTTGAGCACGCTTGGGAGTAGTTTGCTGAACTGGAAGACAAGCGTATACTTACATTTAATAATAGTCTCCAAGCTTTGCTGAATCATACAGAATAACCCACGTTGAAAGGGACCTCAGGAAGTTGTCTGGTCTATACCTCTAATCATGTCTTTGGCAAAAGGTTTTTTGGAAAATATACCTCCTGCAAGAGCAGGCTGTCTCTACTGTTAGCTTATTAAATGTCATTGCTTATTAAATGACAATAGATGCCATGACCTCCAACTGCGTACCAGCCAGCTGGCCGCATACATTTAACCTGATTTTTAAAGAGCATAGTGCTCCTACCTCACTTGCAAATGGAGCTTTGCCATTTGCCAAATGGGGTTTTTTGTTGCTATATTTCAGACCCTGGCTGCTGGTCCAGGCCTCGAACTCAAAAACAGAATGGATGAAAGGGTTTAGACTTGCGTGTTCTTCACCAGAAGAATCTGTGTTTGCAGCAATAGGTCTCCTGTGCCACAGGCACTAGACAGGACAGGCAGAGCGGTGCATAATTCGCCTTTCTGTTGAACAAGGGAGACAGTAAGCACGTGTGGCACTGACCTGGACCACTCCTTGACTTCAAGAACATCCGTGAGATGCCTCAGGGGTTGCTGTAAGTCTCCTGTAGATTGAGAGATGTTCTCTCTCACCCTGGTCGTGAAGTTGCTGTCCTCTTGGGTGAATTGCCCCCAGACCAAACAGAATGAGATCCCCTCAAAAACACAGCATGAAAGCAACTTGTATTCTTTTATTTCTCAAGTTTTCAGACATTTTTTCAAGCTACAGCAGTAATCAATATCAGAAAATTAAGCAAGTGAACAACTGGAAATGAGAATAAGTCAAATGCCACCTGAGATGCTTACTTTCTAGATATTATTTGCAAAACAGTTGCTATAGAAAATGTCCAGGCATAAGCACTACGAGTACAGCAGCTACGTGTTGACCTGGAGATTGATGAGTTCAGTTCACAAATGAATACTTTCTCTCTCATGTTTGACTTAATGAGATCAAATAACAGATTGACAAATTCCAAGAACAGGCTAAGGCTTCATAGAAGCAACCCATGCAGCAGTGCCAAGGAGGACCCCCTGCTGAACGCAGGCAAGTGTGGCATGTTAAATAAAGAAGAGAATGATTGGATTAGACTTGCTATATTAGTTCAGTAAAAGTAGACTCAAATTAGCATCCAGAATGAGTGAATATCTTGATGGACAGATACAATTATTTCTCATTTCAACAGTACATGGAAAGATGGATCTCTCCATCCTGGGAACTGCAGAGAATCCCTGGGCCAGCATGACAGGGGTTCCTGGGCAGCCACGTTCATCATGGACAAGTCCCTAGGGATGATGCAGCTCCAAGGCCAGGCTGTATTAAAACTGTGCACATGTATTAGGAACAGATAACTTTCCCTGTTGAAGATGGATGCATTTATCCATAAATATGGTTTAAGCCCACTTTGCCAAATTCTTAAAAGTAAGTAGACAAGTATTCTCTTTATCATTATCAGCCATAAATGTATCTGAGTCAATAACCATATTTTATTTTTTCTCTTACATCAGGATAAGTCAAAGGTAAACACATTTTAATCAGATCTTAGCTCCATTCCCATCTGGAAAGAGTGAGACTCCCCTGACAGCAGGATAGAGAGTTTTAATGTGAATCAGTAACAATAACGGCAGAATTTGAGTTCTGCTCATTATCAAAGAATCAGATATTACCCAAGCTGCATGTCTTCTTCTCAACAGAAACATATTGGCATATCTTGGTTTTGTCAGCCATGTCTTACAGAGTATGAATTTCCCACCGCAATAAACAAACCCTGCCAGGCATAAATCATTTATATAGTTCATAGCAAGTTTCACTTAACCCCATTGCAGGAGGACTCTTACAGATCCTCCATCACCAAATCCTGCTGCTTATTTATCCATTTTCCTTCCCTAATTGGATTTCTTTGCTCCTTAGCATTTTGGCCAGCTGCACCTTGGGGTGTCTGGTAGTTAGCTATTGGCAAGATCACGTTGCTTTGGCCTCGCTTTGAGTWGACCTCCTTGTGAACCACCTCTCTGCAACAGAGCTGAAGTTTAAAGGCTGCCTGGAAACCTCGGCGAAAGTTTTCGTTAAAGAAGCCATAGATGATGGGGTTGACACTGCTGTTGAAGAAGGCCAGCCAGTGAGCAAAGGGATAGATATAGATGTTGATGATTTGCAGCTGCATATCAGACAAGTTAGCATAGTCAGAGAGCATCATCAGAGTCCACAGCGGAAGCCAGGACAGCATGAAAAGCAAAGCCACGACGAGGAGCATCTTGACGACTTTCTGCTTCTTCTTGGACACAAGGTGCCGCTGCTCCTGGCTGTGTTTTCCCGCCGCTGGCACAGCCGTGTTGAAGAGAGCGATGCCAATCCTCGCGTACATGATCACCATGAGCGACAGGGGAGCCAGGTAGATGTTGGCAAACAGAACCGTCGTGTAGATCTTCCTCATGCCGGGCTCGGGCCAGTCCTCCCGGCACCAGTACACGGGGCGGGTTTCGTTGCCGCGGCCGAGGATCACCCTGAAGAGCTTCTCCTCCCGCACCTGCAGCATGACCGCCGAGGGACACATGATGGCCACAGCCAGGATCCAGATGACTGCGATGACCACAACCGCCGTCGAAACCGTCAGCTTCGGCTTGAAGGGGTAAACGATGCATCGGAACCTGCAGCAAAGGCACCCAGGGACTTGGGTACAAAAGCCACTGGAGGAATATTTACTCAAACAGGCAAACATGCCTACACTTTCCAAACTGTCTGCTTAAAAAATCCACAAATGTAATCCTTATCCTGCATAAGGCAATCCAGTTACTTAATTGCTCAGTTTAAGAGCTCCATTGATAAAAAGGCTCAAGAGTAGTCACATTTGTTGTTTACTTTTCTTTATACCATGTTTCCTTACCAGCCTGCTAGCACTACTTCRGTAACCAAAGTAGGTTCTTCTGCCTCTTATTAGGCTCAGCAGAGCCGGGCAGTTAACCAACATTAGGCAGTCAAATACAACCTGGCTGTACCATTTTTAAGATATAAAAAATGGAGTAGCAAATGACTATAACTGCTTTTTAGACACCAGCACCTTTTCTTCCTTTTGCTGGTGCTATGAGCAAAATACCTTTTATCTGTTGGAATATTGTGTGGATCAGTGAATCAGCCTCAGCATGGTTGAGTCACCTTAAGGTGATGAACAAAACGGTTTCTCTTCTCTGTATCATCTTACCTGTCTACAGCAATTGCAACTAGTGTGAAGACAGAAGCTGAGACAGAGATTCCTTGGACCATGCCGCTCATCTTGCAAACCATGCTCCCAAATGGCCATCCTGGAAGTGAACAGGACATGGAAGTTTTCTCTAGCTGCAGTACTAAACTTCCTCTGGGGTAAACAGAAGAAGAAATTACTCCACAAGGCCAACACATTCCCTTTGCTGTGCGAGACAGAGGCAGTCAGGAAAACAGAAGGTGATTTTGGGCCAGTAGCTGTTTTGCTAAATACTTTGAATGCCTTTCTGATATGCTAAAAAACGGCAGAGCGAGGATTTGCAATTACAGCTTAAAATGGGGACTCGACACAGGAGAGGTAATTGAACAATACAATTGAAGATACCTCAAATGCTTCCATTGAATCAGAGAAAATGTAAGCTATCATGAGGTAGAAACACTTTCTCGGAGTCCTTCAAAAATCAATTATAGTAACACTTCAAATTACCTTTGAAGGACCTCCTGATATCCTTCATGACATTCAGTGCCAACTGTCATGCTCTCCAAGCTATGCCACCTCCTACCACCCTGTTTTTGTGGTGGATAAACAGAGCTACAAGGCATCTGAAGAGGTCCATGAAGGTTTTTAACCAGTGTAGAGGTGAATTATGTGGAGGGCTTTGCCCCTTACAGCCAAAGGCAATACAAGGACTCCAAATCTGCCCCAGAGCTTATTCAAAAGGTTAGTTCTTTAAACCAGGAACAGAATTAAGAAATGATTTGTGGAAGTTACTGTTACAAAGGTAGGAGGCCTCCCCACACACATTTAAGCTCTTACAGCCACATGCAGCCACCCGAGCTACCTGCAATGATGTTGTCCAGCAGAGTAGTGGGCATGCAGAAGATTCCCACCAGGAGATCACTGATGGCCAGGTTTAAGATGAAAAGGTTTGTGACCGTTCGCATGTGTTTGCTCCTCAGAACAATGAAGCCAACGACACCGTTGCCAACCATACAGAGCAGGAAGATGAGGAGGTACGAGATGATGAAGACAGCTGCCACTGAAGGCTGATGGAGGTAGAAGTCTACATAGGAGACATTGCCCTCCAAGAGCAGGTACTTGTATGTGCCATTATAAACGAACATGGGAGGCCACTCGGTTGAAGGGGCTGCATCCATTTTCTTACTTGTGTCGTATGATGCCTTAAAAATGTTTAAGGAGTCATTATAGCAGGTTTCAAATTCGTTTTTAGAAATGGGACTGGATTTTTGAACAGTGTGTTCAAAATACGTGAAAAGCTATTATATCTACTCATTCCCTTAGGGCTTACTTTGTTAGTCCACATGCTGAGCACTCCCAGGCATGAACACCAAAAAATACTTCAAGCTTGATTTTACAGCATGGGTATGTCRAAGTGACCCTTAAGACCACTGAGTCTTCAACACCTGTATCTGCACATTGCATAATCAAGTGCTTCTCTCCCCAAACAAAGGATGAAAACTGGTCTTCTGTGATGTGTCAGGTAAACAAGACGTGTTAAACAGTCATTAAGAGCAAAAAAAAAGTCTCTTGAGGAATGTGCTTGCTCCACACGTCATCTGGCACTTAAGGAGCTGTGTGGTTGATGACCTGTTAAAAGCAAGGATTAAGTTAGAGCTTTCTCAGGTGTTACAAACCCAAACTCTGTGCATCGACATAGACTAATCCAGTTCTATTTCACTACAAAAATGTTTTTTGCATGTAATTGTTAGACCACTGCTGACTTGACTTCCCTGCTTAAAAATGAAGCATTGTAGTAAAACGCAAGACACCTTAATTGATTTTCAAGCTCTGCTACAAGCTTCCACTATTCTGTTAAGAAAATCATCCCTTCCTGTCAGAAATTTCCCCTTATAAACTGTGGATAATATCTCCTCCAAGTCTGCACATTCACAGCATAGAATTCCGCAAAGCAAATCTTATATTTTCACATTAGACAAAAACAAAGCTGCAGAGACATTTTCAAATATGTTCTCCTGGATGTATCATATCCATTTCAACTTCCAAAAATATATGGCTTGTGTTGTAGTAGCAGTGCTTTCACAAATCTGTTCCTTTGAGAAAAGAGAAAGCAAGGCTGTATTGTACACTAAAGACATGTGAAAGACACACTTCAAGGTGAATAAAGAATTTGTAAGCCCCAAACTTAAATAGTTTAGAACTTAGTGTTTGAGCTCAACTAGAGAAGCTATGCTATTCTCTTGTGCTTCTGTATTCCTATAGGAATACCAGAAGCAGCACTCAATTTACTTCAAATATTGAGTTGTACTAAATTTTAACCTTTATTACACAAATAAGATGGAAATACTATTAGCTCCCATTGCACACTGACAGTGAGATCTTGACATTTATGACTGCCATCAAATAACTTGCAAGGAGCACTGAAGTTCCCCCTGCCACATTGTTTTATCTGCCACTTTCAAACAGTGGTGAAAAAAGATTGCTGTCCACTGATACCACCAGCTTTTGGATGACAGTTACGTTGGCGTTTTTATTTCTTTAACAGGCACTCTGCAGAGGAGCAGCTTCTGCTCAATGAGAGCATGAGGTCTCCTCCTTGGCATGGCTCTACAGGACGTAGTCTAAACCTTTGCCCAGGAATCTCCAACACCAACATACGATTTGTAGCTCTGTTTTGCTTTTAACCCGGCTATTGACTCTGATGTTGGTTAAGTGAAAGGCACAAGAGTACTTAGATTTAGCCCTTCTCTTGGCAGCTAGTGTTGACAGCGAGCAGGAACTTGGTTTTAACACAAGGGAAATAAAACACAAAGAAATGGAGCAGATGCTTGTGGTAATCTGACTTCTGATACCTCTTTACATGTAAGCCATAGCAGTGGAGGAGCTCTGTTGGCTAATGACTGCATCTCAGCCTGCAAAAGCAATTGTAAGAAAACAGTTGTGCTTTTTCCTCTGTGCAATCAGCATAAAACTGAAGCTGCTGGTGAGTCTTACCTTCAGTTTTCCAAGATTTAACAAAGAGTAGTAAATCAACCAATCCCAAGTCTTTAGAAAACATCAGGCAACATGCACTTCCTTATCCCTTAAAAAGGATGATTTTTGGAAATCTACTTTTGCTGGCTAAGTAGAAATTAAAGCCACAGTAAAGGCACCAATGCTGAAGTTAACAGGCCTAGCTTTACAAATACTCCAGCTTACAGAGATGGCGTTGTATACACATTTTTCTTACATGAAAGCTAAGGTGGAAAAAGATTGCATGCGAGGAAGAACAAAGGGAATGCTTTTTGTTTTGAGAAGATACTCACCAGCTAAAGGAGAAAAGGATAAATAACCTAGAGCAGCATGGAAGACAGAAGCCCTGGTCATCCAGTAAGAGGAAAATTATGTAAATGTAAGATAATATATAGAAGTAATCAGTTTTCACATGGTAATTTGATCAGGCTGTGGCATTCCCTGTGGCACTTGATTTGTTAGCATTACATCAAAGATAACCAGCGCTGAAATGTTTACAAGTGTCCCAGAGGAACCTGGAAATTGAGAGCTACACACYGCAGCTCCACAGTCTGGGTTTAGAAATGCAAACCTGAAAGTGTCAAAATTGCAGTAACAACACCCATAAGCAAATAGACACGGTTAAGTTTGACAACACAAGAAGGATAATTCTGTGCCATTGGAAATAGAGACTTAATTTGGCATTTTGGCAAGAAAAGTTCACAGTAGTTATGCATTTTTATACTGGCCACAAACAGCAACTCTGACAATCACTAGACAGGCAGTACAGCTCCCTCCTTTTCTTGCACAAACCCGTTTTTAGTGTTGTCTTGAAATCTGAGGCCTTAGAAGCCTAAAAAAGGCAAGAACAAGGATACTTCAGAGGTATGATCAACAGAAGCAGGTAATTGAGGTATAGTAGGGTAAACATCATGAAATTTATCTTGTCCTGAGCTCTATACTTAACAATGGGTCAAGGAGACACATTTCTTAGAAACCATGAGCAATAAGCTCTGTTCTGCTGAAAAGCCAGGGTGCAAAATGAGATGAGCTACTGAGGGATGGCAAAAAAAAAAAGTCCCTCATTCTGTAACTGTATTAGGAGAGCAATGAAAGGATTGACATATGATTCAATGGATCAGAGCAGCTATTTGAGGAGCAGGCCAATGTGTTCCCTCCCCCCCCCAAAATATTCCCAAATCACTAAAGTATTGTTAGTAACCATTTCTCAAAATTGAAGTAATAGAACAGAAAATGGTCACTTGTGATCTCTGCATTTAAGAAGGGGCATGTGCTCAAAGGGAAGGGATATTAGGAAATATATGAGGAGAAASCTAATTATGGACTAACTTCTGCAGAAGTCATTCCTTCTGGAGTCCAGGCTAAACACAAGAATGCTGTTCAACAGGGACAAGGGGAGAGCACTTCACAGGTCTGTCTGGGGAAAAAGTACCTGTACAGCAGCACTGCACACAAGGATCCACTGTTCAKAGCAAGTCATTAAGTGAATGCAGCATTGGATGGCACAACATGACAGTGGCAAAGACCCTATTATAAGTACAACTAAATTAGAGAACCTAAGATAAGCACCAAATAATAGGGAAGAGTTAACTATGATGTTTCATTTGAAACAGTTGGGGCACCAAATAAACCTAGAAGACAGGGAAGATCAGCAGACTATAAATCATGATTAAGATAGAACTGAAAGAGGTGGAGCAATTTCACTTAAGAGGCCATTAAGATGTTGCAGTATGTTCTGCATTTTCACTGTTCATCCAAGTCCCTTATCCTAGGATCATTGCGCCCCAGCACGTCTCTTGCAAGGGGCATGCTGCAGTTCACTGTAAGCAGACCCCTCGCTGTCTCTCCCAGATTTGAATCAAGAGCCAGAGAGACAGAACCAGATCCAACAATGTACACACCGTGTTGTAGAGCAACTTACTGTTCTCAGCGAAACCAAGCAGCTGCTTGCTTTATTTCAAGTGCAACAGGGAGAACTGCTTCTTTGGTGAGTTAAAATTTTTGTGCAGATTTTGGTTTATTAACCTTTGAGGYTGAGCAGTAACTGTTTCATAGTTCATACTGTCTCCAGTAAAAACACAAAGAGCTCCTCTATATAAACAAAACATTTTATTGCCAAGCACAGTCTGAAGAGGAATACGTSTAAGATACTTCAGAAATTAGTTGACCTGTTTTTATGTCAGTTTAAGACACTTTACATAAAAGTTCTCTAAATCACATTACCTTAAAATAGCATTGGACATGCTCAGTCATTCAGCTTTCAGTTAAGGAAGATGGAGTCAAAGCCTTTCCAAAAGGCATTTAAAATCAAAGCGTTCTCGTCTTTGACATCTAGTTGTTCCATGAAGAAAAACTAAACCAAGCTTGCCTCTTAATGCGATGTGATAGGCAAAGTTCCCATCTTAAAGCTGCATGCACAATTCTTCTAGTGGAATCATGTTGTTTAATCACCCCTGACACTCRCTTACCTGGGGAGTTGGAACTGGGACCCAAGAAAAGACTTGGTCTGAGTGTTTAAAAACCAAACTTCTACTTTCCCCTGGCTTAACAGTGACAGGAAATTGTCAGATTCCTGCAAGAGACAGGACAAGTCTTGGTTCCTGTGATGTCTATTACTCACACTTGAGCCAGAAATATGGAGCCTCTTGTCAAAGGCACATCTAGTCAGACGGAATTCAGAACATACTGCAATAGTTAAGGCATTTAYAGCAGCAAATTCCTTTTCCTCTAGGGCATATATAAAGTCTTACTCCGCTTCCTTCAGGAAATCCAAGTAGAAATATAGAGCTTGTRCAACAAACATTGTCTTATTTATCAAAACCACACTGAATGAGGCTGATGACAATTTAGAATAAAACCTTGCTATATTTAAATGTTTTCTGATCTGCACTAGCAGAGAGCTTAAGAAACAGTGTAGTAATTTATCTTCCTTGTGTCAAGCACAGTTGCTATTCATGTCCTCACAAAGAAACTCCAAATAAATTCCTTATTTAGGAAAAGGTTGAATATGAGCCAGGAGCTTGTCAGGTTTTTGTAATCAAAGGCASAGGACATTGTGCTGGAAATAAAGAGCATAATTTTTTCTCAATATTAGGTAATGAGTGGTTCTTGGGTACAAAGGTAAAAGCATGTTTGCTTTGCTAATAGAGATGCTCTGAGCAAGTATATTGCTGCGTACATTACCTTAACCTAAGCATAAAACCAAAATTCTTGGAGAAGGAGTATATCTATATTACRAAGTGCATTTTCTTTCTTATAATCCTGCTCTCTGTTGCTAAATGCTTGCCAACTGGTACTTTAACATATCTTCTGTGTGTCCATTTTACATTTTAAGTAAAGTCTTAGCCAACTATTTCCTGGATTAAGATGAAGCAAGACCTCCTGCACAGGCACACTTAGCAAGCCTACAGCTGCTTTAAGCCTAGAAACTCACCACATGTATTAGCACCCTTCATGTGTAAAACTGGCTTTCATCATTTTCCAAAAGCTTCCTTCAGATGACTCCCAGAGGAAATGAAGTTTCTGGAAAGCCTCTTCAGACTTCTCCCTGCCTTCAGCACCAGCATGGCCAACAAGGATGATACTACCACTCATCTGAGCAAAGGAGGTAAATTAATCATGGAAGCACTCAGCTGAGTAGCATGTAAGATGCATAATATATTAGTACAAGGCTTGAATTACTCAGATTAATTAACATATACTGAAGCTTTAGGTGAATACCTCTCTCCTGAGCAATACTCTAGCCTGTGATAGAAGCAAACAYCTGTGACCAACATGTGTACCATCTAAGGAAATACCATCACAGTGCTTATCAAGGCAAGGCAAGCTATCATAATGCTTCCTGCATCTAGTTAGATGAACCTAATATCCTCAGTGGCCTAAGTGCAGTGTAACATACTAAACAAGGATTTTGGGAAAATATCTGTTTGTAAATTTACAGCAAGTTGCTTAGTGTTTAGTACCCTCTTAAATACATGAGGCGGTGTGAAGGATGCCCCATCAGAGCATGTCTGTAGTATTGTCTATCACTCCACCTAGAACAGGGTGGCTCCAGCTCCAGGACATGAAGACCTTCACAGGCATGACTGCAGAGTACAGAGGTACAGTAATGAGCTTCTTAGACAGATGCATACAGGAGAGAAGTGACAAGAGTTTAGATCAATCTGATGCATCTTTACTGCTCAGCAGTTAGTCTTCACCAACGGTACTGCAGGACAAAACTACTGCAGCAAGAGCAATATTTACAGACACACACACACACAACACAGCCAAATGCAGCAGGATGAACAGCGTCTGCCAAGAGCTCTAGCATACCCTTTAGATAAGTACGTATTTATCAGCTACCTTAGCTAGGGAGAGCAAAGACMAGTCCGTCACTCCTGTGAGACAGCTGCAGAGCTGCCCTTTACTGCTCCTTGGTCCCCTACTTMGAATAGTTTTCAACCTCAGGACTGACAAGTTGGTCCATTTTTTTCTTAGCAAGTCATTACCTGGCAATTTCAGTAGAGATAACATGCTTTTCAACTGCATTAGTCAAGAGCCATCAACTAAAGTTAAACAATTTCGATTTAGACCTCCAGAGACCAAATCTAAGTAGCAGCTTCTCATCCATCATAGGAAATTGGCTCAAGACTCCACTAACTGTAGCCTAGACTGGTTGAGATTTTCCCCTTCAGTGGAGAGGCACTCCAGTGAGCACTTAGCACTAAGTGCTTTGGGTTAGGGTAGGGGAGCGGTTAASTGTTTGCTTCCAGGCTTTCTGCAGCACGCAGCTCCCACTGAGGGGAGATGGGACTCCCCATTAGCAACCTTCTGGCACGGGGGCTGATTTGCCATCCGTGGCCCTTAAATATTGGCTCGAGGGCAAGCCACAGGGCTTAGCCACCCCACCTAATGTGCAGGTTCACACTCTGCACTTCAGTGGCTCCTGCAGACACCTGCATCATTTGGTGTATTCAAAGGAAGAACAAAAATTGGGCAAGTAGAAGAGGAAGCAAGCATATCCCTGGCAGAAGCAGGCAATCAAAGCCTGTGACCAAAGGCCATTCCTTACCCTGCTTACCAAGCTGGTCCCCTTCCCCTGCCCTGTTAAATTCATTTTAGTCACCCACATCTGACAAAGACAAGCCATCTGATCCATTAGCAAGTTCTTTTTGCTACAGGCTATAGGGTGAAACAAGCCATGTGGTCAAAAAATAGCTTTCCTTATACAAGCATCAAGTTCAACAAAAAGCACGAAGCCTGCAAATAGTGCTTCTAACACCTTGCCTGGCAACTGCTAGAATACTTCTACCACAAATCGAAACACTAACCTTAAAAGCCAGCAAGGGTAGTACATGTTAAGTACAAGTGATAAAATTTGGTTTCTTTTCTCATTACCTCCTATCTGCTTTTAAATCACTGTAAAGTTCCTTATTCACCCAGAAAGATCTTTTATCTAGAGTTACTAGCTAAGGCTAACCTGAGTGTTTCTCATCTTTCCCAGCCTCCTTTTTCCTAGCTAAAATTATGACTTGCTAGCCAAAAGTCTGTACCAGGATAACACATATAAACAGTATTTGAAAAAATGAGTGTACAAGTGGGTAGGAGTTTTTGTGTTTTTAGGACTTAATAAGGTAGAGAGATTAGCAAAAGTAGATGATCTAGTGTAGCATAGGGCATAGARCACAGGGCATGGCGTTCAGAAGATCTCTCAATGTCACGGGAGTTAGGTGCATAATTAATTTAGACAGTTTACTGATAACCCCATGCCATACAAGGCAAAAATTTGAAATTAGTGTCCCGATTGGGCAGTAGGTGAGTACGCACATTTCAAATGGAGTATTTAGGCAAACTGAACTACGCAATAAAAGCCATTTGCTGCATCCTCCACATTGGTGTCAGTGCTCTATGGCCCTGGGGCACAAATAACCCCAGGTCAGTCCAGCTAGCGGACRAGGCATGCCGACCCCCTTTTACGGCAACACAAGTGATCATGGCAAAATGAGCAAGAACAACCTAATGATTCTATTGGAATCAATTTTGGCATAGAAATTCCAGTTTTTATTCTAAAAAGGCATGAAGACATAGAACACAGCATCTGGAATATATGCATTTCTGAAGTTAGAGTCCTCTCTACATATAGAGACACACACACCCCTTGATATTACAATCCTCTTCCACATAGAGATCACAAGTGTGTCTACAAATGGTCTAAAAGTGTTTCTACATAAGGCTAACAATATAGTAAGCTTCAAGTTTTGGCCACCCCTTACAGCAACAAGATSGAAATTACAGAGACAGATACTCTTCTAGGCATCTACTTAAAATAGATTTTTGGGAACAAAGAGCACATGTTTTCATGAAAACCCTTGGGAAGAGGCAGCTGTACCCCTTTTCTCCACAGAAAGCCTGTTACAAGTAGCAGGGAGGCTTAGAGCAACAACCACCARCCTGGCTTGCCCTCAGCCAGAAGCAGTGCCAGTACTGCTTTTGGGGAGACTTGCCATCATACATAATTTATTCTGAGTTACAGAACAGGTGACATGCTTGAAAAGATCTCCAAATAGCATCCCAGGTCTAAACTACTTGCAGGGTGTTTCTGCTCCACACTCAACAAGTTCACCAGGCATGAGCCTTTAAATGAAGTACTTGCGTTCAGTTTTCCTTTCACATCATGCACACAGATTAGGCCAGTGCCAGCCACAAGCATCTCACTCCACCAAAATCACCAGGCATGGGATTATCTACCATGGATTATTAGTCATCTTCTAATCCTGCCTTGTAACACCCTGTGTGGTGCCTCTGATAGAGATTAGCATTTTACATATTGGTCATATTACACCTGGCTTCCTCTCCTTTTTGCAGTCTGCCACACTTAAGTTTTATACTTAGAGGTCCTGTCGTAACATATAAACTATTCCCCACAGGGCCACACTAATCGTTTATTCCCCCCACTCCAGGTAAAAGACATGCTTTCCATGAGGCCYGAGTGACATCTGACTCAAGAGGTAACACAAAGGCACCCAGAAGCTGTCCAGTAAAATGGTAAGGTGTCCTGCTTTATWGTCTACACTCTTGATGATCCTCTAGCTCATTAATTAACACTAGGCTAGTTTTATAAAACAAGCCACCAAGTGGTTAGTGAAACTACCTACCAAGGTATTACTGCCTGTACCTACTGTGAATTASTTGCAGCAATGCAAAAACAGACCCCAGAATTCATCTAAAACCTGCACAGAAATCYTAAACTCACTTAAATCCATAGAGTTCAAATCCTTTCCACTCCTTGAGCTCTTGGTTTCAAGAGACAAAGCRGTTAGACCAATTATTCCTGGCTGCAGTTGTCTATGCATTTACAGCCTTTCATTCTGAATGACCTATTATTCCATGGGATATTAAGGTATACATTCAAAACCAGTTTGAATACCATAACCTAAATCAATTGTATCACAATATTGCTACTAGGAAGTTACTATAGCAACCTAGGTTTTATCAACAAAGCATGAACAAAATAAGAGCCTTCTAATCCTATTGACTAGGGTCACCTGGCAACTAGTAGCATTTAAATGAATGCTTCAGCCCTATGGCTTTCAAGTTCCATTTTTAATGGCTGCTGAAACTGAGCAGTATCACTGCATTAAAGCCAACAGCTCAACTGCAACAGTGATTTCTCAGCAAGATGAGAAGTAATATGGTAGTGCAGTACTCTAAATCCTTTCTACCTGTGGCCTCAGAAAGCTTGAACTGCTCAATAGGTTCCATATACTATAAAATGATGAACATACAGTTCTTTTTCTGCTACAAGCTTAAGGTAGAAATATCAAAATTCATAAGTGATTTCATTCTTTTACTCTAAGTTAAGTTTAAGCACAGACAGTAGTCTCAAGTAGAATGATATAATCACTTCTCTAAGGTTGTTAATAAAGGCTTTAGGTAGTCTGCCAACTATTTACCCTTATAGGAACAAGATGGTCACCTTATTAACATGAAGCTCTTCTTGCTGCCTTCAGTTCACGGCAATTGAGGATGTTGAGCGMGTCAGTGGTTCAGGCATCCTGGTGCAAACACCTCCCTTCAAGTGGCGTATGTTTGAAATTGCTCCATTCTATAAGCAGAAACAGGGCAGACAATCCCCTTTTAGTTCTTAGCAGGAATGTGTCTATGAATACTAGTGCCCTAACTGGCAAAGGAAATGCAAGATCAGAGTCTGTTTTCATGTACATCTTTATTCATGGRGAAACCACCAAGTGATGCTAGCTTGATAAATGAAAAACAGACCTCAAGATGACTAGAGCAAGGCTTTGAAAGCAGCTGAACTCTAATGCAATTGACATTTGCCAGACCCTGGGCACAAACAAGGTGCAGAAGACAAGGAACAGCCCAGGATCTCAGTACTTGGCTTTTGCTCCCCATATCATCCTGTTTCTCCCCTGGGAGACCCTTAGCAGCTCTTGTATTAAGAAAAACCACACCACCCCAGGTAGTTTGCTGTCCACTTTTCCCAGTCCTCCATATAGACCTGTGGGTCCCTTGGACAACAGGACTGCTGTACATCACCACCCTGGCAGCCCCAGGGRATCAGCACAGGGGTGGATGGTTAGAGCTGCCTATTCAAGCAAAGCAAGAAAAGCCCATTACATGGGTGTGCAGCATGCACACAACCATGCAAGATATACTAATAAATCATTTAATCAAATTTTCATAGCACAAACTCAGCCTTTAACATACAAGACCTTAAATTGCTGTACTAGTTGAAATTTTACCAATATAGTCACAAAATGGGGTGAATATCTACATACATCCATTATATATGGTTTTACATTAGTGCATCCCTGCTCTGCCTCATGAACACAAAAAAACAGTTCAGTTTTTTTCTCTGCCAACAAAATTGGAAGAAAGCAGATTCATCTAGCCTGCAGTTCCATCCTCTAAGTTTGTAAGTGCAAGCCTTAAAAAAAGATTCCTTTTCAAAGCATTTGATTGATTTCATTTGATTACCACTTATACAAATGATGAAGAGCCCCTTCTACTGCATTTGGCACCAGCAACAGAGTGCATGTTTTAAACTTCTACTCAGAAAAAAATATATAGTTTAGAGTTGGAGAAAAGACACCCAACTTCCCCACTTTACCCATTTGTGTAGTCAACTAGTTTTAAGCTTAAAAAAATAGTGACTAAAAGTCCTAACAAAGTTTTAAGTCACCCTTTCAAAAGCTGACACAAGCTAGCTGTTATTGAATTAACTTCTGACATAATATCTAAAATGATTAACAAGTGCTTCAAAACAGATTCCCTTTATCACCAACTTGAAAATCAAGACTATGTTCCTGTATCCATGTACACATGTTTAGCTACACAACTAAGAAACAGTTTTACCTTCTGGACTGCTACAGGTAGAGAGCACTAAAAGGACATTTAACACAACCCAGACATGCATTAACCTCATTACATTGCACTGAAAAAATAGCTTTGATATTCAGCATATTGCTGTGTAAAAGACAAGTCTCCTCTGCTAACAGGCAACATTTGAGAAGTGCTCTCTAAGATAGAATCAGAGCTCTTGAAAGCTAACARTCATTGCAGCTGGTGAGCCCAAAAGCTAATCAAGTTACACAAATGACACCAGGAGCCACACTATCCCAGCAGTGGGCTTAATCTTGAGAAATGCCTTCTTCACATGTAGAAGATCTAGAGCTCCGTAGCGGGATTAAGTGGTCGCTGCACTTGGAGCAGCACTTTCAGCAGCAGCTAAGTAAATAATGGCTTAACGCTGTTCCTGTAYTGCCCATTTTGCTCCCACATACCCTCAGGGGGAAGGATCTTCCTTTGGGTCTGAAGCATTTCCTGCCRCCCTGCATGACCCAAGCAGCATATGGACAGACCAGCAGTGCTGTCCTGCACCCTCTGGGTCAGCAGGAGCAGCATGCAGAGGAGTCCTCCCGTGCCTGTGKGCAGGAGGGGTGCCCTGCTGCCCTGGCATCACCCCCAGGGTGCTCAAACAGGCACTGCCCCAGAGCAACACCCCCACACACCACCCCAGTTCCCCCTCTGCTGCTGCAGCARGGAGGATGACACCCTGACCCACATGAAAGCCACCCCCATCCCACTGGGGCAGGTGCCCCACTTACAGTGCCAAGGCTCCACAGCAGCCAGCGCTCACCCCAGCCCAGGACGAGGAAGAGGAAGGCAGCCCCGCACCGCTCCTGCACAGAGAGATCTGCAGCCCCAGGCAGAGCAGAGGCAGCAGCTGCTGCCGGTGCTGCCTGCCCAGCATGGGGAGGAGGCAGCAGAGGGGAGGGATGGAGGAGCAGCAGCCCAGGGGCAGGCTGCAGGCACTAATACCCACCAGGGCTGTCACCACCCCCTTTCCTCCCACCTTTTAGAGGGGGGCCTAGGCTGCACATTACAGTTATTTTGCACATATGTTGCTCAGCACAGAGAGCTCCAAACTCCCTGTGCCCTCAAAAGCTTKAATAGGGTCAGCATGCAACAGGCATCTCCCCAACTGCCAGTCCTCTGCTCTGCACTGAGATGTACAGCTGGGGCAGGCAGTACAGCCTTCCCAGCACAGCATAGCCCTCAGACTCACAGCACACACTGAGCTCCAGTAATTCAAGCCTTCCTAAACCTAGAGCACAAGTAGATTCTTAATCAGACAAAAAAGCTTGGGGGAAATTGCCTGMTTGTAAATAGGTGAGCAAATAGGTTTAGGCAAGCAGGGTTTTTCCTCTTTGTCTTTTCCCTGCTTCCTATAAGCCTGCTGATGAGGAAGCTAAGTRCTGGGAGCCCTGAGGTCCCCCAGCTAGAGAGCAGCTTGTGAGCAGCTCCCCTTCCCACACTCCCCATAACCAAAAGCCATGGGAGTCACCACCCTGGCCCCACCTTGAACACCCAGCTCACTTGTCAGATGAGCTAAGAAGCTCTTAAGCTAGACACACTGAAGACACCCTCATCTCTTTCTTCCTTGCTTAGCCCTCGGGAGGGCTCCACAACTCTACTGAACCTGCAAGAAAACCCTTCCTCTACTCCTGGTTTTCAAGGTCTCAAAAATACTGCCCTCACATGTTACAGAAATAACAAATTAAAGCCCTTCACCCCAGACTATAATGAAAARAACAATAAAAGCCTTAAAGAACTTGAAGCAACTAGTAAATGGTCCTGAAACCCCTTTATTTGCCATTCAAAGTGACATTTCTAAGTTACTGGCAAAGGAGTGTTTAATAGTCATATATAAAGGCACACTGTAGTCAGCTAGACAGAGAGAAAGAAGCTCCATACAACTGGTTGCTACTAGCTTAAACACAAACATATCAGGCAAACCAAAACTAAAAAAAAAAAATAATGCTCAGAAAGGACAGAACCCAAAGCCAGAAGGAAAAGAAAAACAAAAATACAATTTCACATTACCTTAACAGAAGCTAAAACCTGTCCACCACTTTATATAAGTCCTATAATCAACCAGAACCTTCACAAAATCAGTAATAACAAAGATCACATGATAAAATAAAACTCTAAACACACCCTATAAMACAACAAAACTACCAAAAATCATCAACTGCAAGAGCAGAAATGAAAAGCAAGGCCCCCAGGCTGGGTTTATATACAGTGCGTGGGCCATTCAGGGAGGGCCCGTGGGCGGTGCAGACCCAGGTGAGGCCGTTAGGGAAACTGAGGCCGGGTGGGACATGTCAGGTGCCTCTATGGGAAGCTGGGCTCCAAGCCCCTCGACACCTCCACGGACACCTCTGCACAGAAGGCACCAGCCGAGAGTGTGTTTGGGGATAACAGCAAGGCAGAAATGGCATCGCAGCGTGACGTGTGGGTATCGGTCTCAGACTTTCAGTAGATACTGATATTTTATTGTTCTCCTCAGAAGGCACGGTGAGACTTGCAGCAGCTGAGAAGGAGTTCCTCCGGGCCCAAGACAGACACAAAAACTACTGAAATTTGAAACACCCGCTTCAAAACAAGCTTGTTTTCCCCAGGGAGATTAGAAATATCCCCGTTCAGCTGGCAGGGCTGCTTTTGTATGTGTGCACACATGCCTGGGTGCTGCTGTCTTGAGGATGGGAGTCTGCAACCTCAGGGCAGGACTCAGGTTTGTGTCCAGGTGAGTTCCTGAGTGGGTGTGAGGCAGGGGGTGCATGTGTGGCTGTCTTGTGCTGTGATCTCTTCTCCCTGGGAAACCTTTGAAGACTTCTTTAGCAGTTAAAGAGGGAGCTGCTTCTTGGGAGATGAAGTGGGTGAGCTTGGCAGCGTATTTGGGCTTGTCGTTTGACTTGGGGTCCTTAGTTTCTAAGTCCTCAATCAGACCATGACCTTGTTGTAGTGGAGGAAGGTGTTGCAGAGGCTTGGGGTATCCTCAGAGGATAATTATCTAGAGCAATATTTGCCCTCGTGTATCTGACCCGGGGCTGCAGCTCTTGTTTTTGTGTCCCAGGAACGGTGGGTGTGAGTTGTAGCCCCCTGTCTGCTCCTGGCCTCATTAAAGGACCTCCCAAGCAGAGCGTTGCAGGTGAAGAGTGATCATAGTGCTGTGTGAAGGCGGGCTGGAGTGAAGGATGGCCTTGGCACGTGAGATAATGGAAATGGGATGACATTTCATACTGGTTGTAAGGCCSTGATTTAAGTTGCAACAGTAACTTCTGGCTGTAAGTCCAGGAGCTCATCAATAAGAAATATTAAATCAAGATAAAGTTTTGTCATTTTGACTCAAGAAAAATAAGACTGAAAGGGTAGCTAGCGGGGGGCCTTAGGGTAGGAGAGCTCGAGGTGTGTCTGATAGCTCTGAAAGTTCCCCAGGGTATTAGAAAGCCCTCACTTGGAATAGTCAGGAAGGCTTAATTCAGAATTAAATACATTCAGAGAGAAGTTGCTGAGGGATGCGCTTCACAGGAGAGAGACTGCAAAGATTCCCCATTGTGTAGTCTGTAGAGCACATGCTGAGACAGGATCTTAAATTTGAGGGAATAAAATCAACAAGGATTTAACTAAAAAAAAAAAAAAAAAAAAAAAAAAGCTTTGGCACAAGAACATATTGGTTAAAAGCTGTCCATGAGCAGATTTAGATAGGAAATTAGAAAGCTTTTCCATGGGAAAAACAACGGCAAAAAGTCCCCCAGATGCTTTTAAGGTGGCGTTTTTCAGACTGAGCCTAAGAGGTGCTCCCTGTGAGTTCTGAGGAACTCCGGGAACCATCCTGACTGGTCCCTCCTGGGTCTTGATCTTCCTGCCCACACGCTCCCTCCCACCCGGCAGCCTCCTGGGGATTCGCCCTGAGTCCAACGGGCTGCTCAGGGATGGGAGGGAAGTGGGCCTGGAGATGGCTTTGTTGCTGCTGGAGGAGCAGGGATTTTTTAGAGGTAAGTGGAGGTAAGAGGAGTAGATACATCTAGAATCAGGGGTTCATAGGTTTAGGGAGGCTCAGCGGTGGGGATAGCTGTGTTTGGGATTTAAGATGTAGTGCTTTTGCAGAACAGCAGAGGAGTGTGATCTGAGAGCTTCAGCGTGACACTTCATCGCTCCTTGTGGCATTCTGCTGGACAGCCTGGAAAACTGCATCTCAGCCACACAGAGATAACAGCAGAGGTGCAGGTAACTCCCCAGGCCTTTCAAGCACACACTTAAACATAATGTTAAAAAAAAMCAGCCAAGCTTCAGCCTCCTTAACAGACAGTGAAGGGCTGCTGTTGCCGGCAGGGTGGCTGAAGGGGCTGTGAAGTGTTGATTCCTGCCCGTGTTTCTCACGTGAAGGGTGTCCTGCTCGCCCAGCGTGGCCTGCGGGGCAGTGACCACGTGCAGCACTGCCAAGGAGAGCCTGCTCACCGAAACCATCCTCCTGGTAACACGTAGCTTCCATTTTGGGGTCCACTTTTGCATTTAACCTCATTCTCGGCAGACTAACAGGAGGCTATTCATTTTTCCAGCTTTCTCCCTGCAGAAGGGACACATCTTTCTCTGAGAGATACCTTCTCTCCGAGGCAGTGTAATGCCAATTTCTCTGTATTTCTCTCTGCAGCTTCACTGCTGCTCGAGGGCTAAGATTACTCAGTTTTCATTAAAGCAAACAGCAATGGGGTTTCCAGGCCCTTCAGGCAGAGCAGAAATGATTTTCTCACAGTACATTGCTCTTGATACAGCCTTYGATTTTTCTTCAAATTCCTATTGACTTTCCGCCCCCCAAGCCAAGGAAGTAGCTGCTGATAGTGGTGGACTCCACTGGGATGTTGCTAATGCTCTGTGGGATTGGACTGCAGGGTCCTGGGATTCAGTATTGCCTTTTATTGCCTTGCCGGAGCTGAACGCTCAGATCTCCTGCTTTCCGCTCCCGCTCTTGGGCGTTTCAAAGCTCATGGCTGTCTCCTTCCTCCAGGACGCTCCGGTGGGTTTAGTGATGGAGCTAAGGAGGGAACCATGGRCGTTCAGAAGTGATGGAGCCAGCGAGGAGGTGGAGGACGTTCAGGAACCATGGAGCTAAGGAGGGAACGATGGATGTTCAGAAGCGATGGAGCTAAGGAAGGAACCACGGATGTTTGGGAGCCGTGGAGCAGCTTGCCTGGCAGTGGGGCRGCAGCGCTGTGCACCTGTGGGACCTGAGGTACTGCTTTGCACTTTCCCTTGCGCAGCGGCGTAAGTGCAGGCTAGACCAGAGGCACGAGTTAACGCATAGTAACATATAGCGAAACATACAACGTACGTTGTACAACGTACGTAACGTACAGCAGCATTGATCAGCATTGATCAGCATTGATCAGCATTGATCAGCACTGA